ATTGCCGCGGCAATGGCGACAGTGACAGCCGTTGCCGCTGGCCGAGGGCGCCTTTTCCGGGGAGCTGAAGGGGGAGGGGGCCGGCTCCCCCAGACGCGCGGGCTCGGGCGGCGGGTGGGGGGTGCCTCGGGCCAGTGCCGAAGGGTCGTCCGAGACGCCCGGCTGAGCTGAGGTGAGGTGAGGTCCCCGTTTCTGCTGCCGCCTCAGCAGCCTTGCAGGGAGACCCAGGCGGGCTTTGGGCGCCTCGTGAGGAGGCAGCATCGACGCTGAATTATGTTCAGGCCGGACGCGCAACTGTGGTGGTTTTCAGAAGGATGGGGGAACTTCTGGATGTTAATCTCCTAATCCGCCACTTTAGGGCGGCGGTATCACTCTGTCTTGTTCTCCCTTGCATGAAAGAAAGTTGCTGCCAGCAATGGGGACCACCAATGTCGGCCAGTGGGATGAAACCATTTGCAACATGATGGCTTGTCAGCATCCACCCTGCTGGGAGTCAATGTGGAGGATCGAAAGTGGACATCCTCGAATTTTGCTGAAAAAAACAGGCACGCCTGGAAGAGATTCCCTAGAATCTGAAGGTAAGACTTGCATTGGATGCCAGGCCGCTAAAGCTGAACGGTAGGCCGTTGGAAGCGTTCCTGGCCTGCAGTAAGAAAGAGCTGTACAAAAGCCGGACTGAAGCAAGCGAAAGCGCACCTGCGGGCGATGTGGCTGAGACCTGATCTCAACTGATCGCCTCCCAGATTCAGTTTCAGAGAGAGGTGCTTCTGAGGGACGTCCTCCTTGCTGCCCTGATGGGACCAAGATGGCTTGCCTTGGTAAGGGAAGGAGGACGGCACTCCGGCTGCCTCCTGGGACGAGGCGTGGGAGAGGGAATGGCGTCTTCAAACGCCAGAAGACCCTCTAGGCAGGGCAAAGAATGATGAACTCTAAGTTCCACCATCGGATTCCTGTTGAATGTTACAAAACAAAATGTCCCAATAGAGCATTCTGGCAGTGGATTAGGTTAAGGTTAGAGGTAGAGAGAGTTCCTTTGTTTTGTAGCTGAACTGTTGCCTGTTTCGGTTCTTGCAAAGATTAGGAACGAAATGGAAATCTCTTTCCTCTCTCTTGTTATATCAATAGGCAGATATCATATCAGATTCTTCGTCATTGTGCTGACAGCGGACCAACCAATGTGCGTGAAAGAAATGCCCCCCCCTTTTTTTCTGAGGTCAAAGCCTTCTTTGCTTTTTCCTTGTTTTAGACAAACTGCCAACTCTGAAGATTGTTGACCTTCCCTTCAATTATCCTCAGAGAGAAAGGATTAAATGTGCTGAAAGCTTCGGTTCCATCTCCAAGACAATTTCCAGTAGTAAAGAAGCTAGAAGTTACTTTTCAAATTCCACTTTGAATGATGGTTGGATACCCCCCATTTCGATATTGAGGTCAGCAAATTTGGATTTCCCACATCTGCGTTTCTGAAATTATAGGCATAGAGTGGCATTATGTAAGAAACCCTCCTACACCTTCCTATAGGCATTTGCAAGATATTCTTTTACACTAGTGTCCCCCCCACAGACTCACCTAGTAAATGGAGCAGTACAGGCTGTTTCTGCACACGTCTGCAGCTGTGCAAAGGCAAGGCAGAATTCTTGTGCAGGATCTGTGCCTTCTGCGTGATCTCCGTTGTGTTTTTTTCTTTGTGTGCATTTCAGTTCAGAAAGGAATTCTTTCCCAGGTCTGAACTCCAGAACGGAATCTCATTCTCGCCATTTCTCACCAATGCGTTTCACCAGCTTGAGGCAAGCTGAGAAGGTGAGTGAATTCAGTGGATTGTTTGGAAGGGGTTAGGGCTTTCTTGGGCCTTGAAGGAATATCCCCCCCACAACATATTCAGTGCCCAACTGCTTCAAGTTTTTTTTATTCTGTATTCTGCAGAGTGGCTTTGTTCTGCAGTGTTCTGCAATGTTCTGCAATGAAATTAGAGGAAACCCTGCCAATTGTGGTCTCTCAATGAGTCCTGTTCATTAAGGGTTGATGCACATTTTGGCCCTTCTGTGCTGCTGAGTGGTGGCCTCCCCGCAGTCAACAGAAATGCTGTTCATACTGACTAAGCAAAAATGCAGCCTGTAGTGTTGTTGTTGTCACTGTTATGTTGTTGCCTTTGGGGAATGAATGGTCACATTTCACATCTGGGAGACTCCTGTTTTTATTTTGATGTTAGGGTTTTTCTGTGTTTTATAATTTTATGGTATGAGTCATTTTCTGAGTTCAGCTTTATACAAGCACATTACAGGTAGTTCTCGTTCAGTGACCACTCGTTCAGTGATCATTCGAAGTTATGACATCACTGAACAAAGGGATTTATGACCGTTCCTTGTAGTTGTGGCTGTCGCAGCATGTCTGCGGTCATGTGATCACGATTTGGGTGCTTCTCATTTACAATGGTCGAAGCGTCCCACGGTCAGACCACCATTTGTGACCTTCACTGACGGCTTCCGATGACCAAAGTCGACGGGGAAGCTGGTGGAAGGTCACGAATAGTGATCACGTGACCATAGGACACTGTGATTGTGTGGGATTCACCTAATGACGACAACTAGAACTGCCACAACTGTCGTTGTAAGTCGGCACGGTCATGTGATGTTACGCTTTACGACCACATTGCTTAGAGATGGAGTTGCCAGTCCCAATTACTGTAATTAAGTGAGTACTACTGTAGCAAATAAAAATTTTCCTCTGATTTTGTAGATCTGTCTAATGAAGAGCTTATTGTCTCCTGAAATGTTCTAAATCCTTAATGAAACTATGCAGATGAGTAGGCAAAACCCTATTTCTCACTGTTGGTTAACTGTAACAGCTTCTTGGGGCACTCAACTAGCCAGATGCCCCAGAGAGCAGCCAAGACAGCTAAGAGAATCCTGTGTGCCTTCTGGAACCAGAGCTGCGCTTGGAGCGGTTAACCCTTGAAAAATCCAGCATTAGTTCCCTTGAGATCCTTGGCTTCTCTTTGGCCAAGTGGTTAAAGGGTCTTTCCTTTTTCCCATGGATGTGTTAGATACAGGTGAGAGATCTTGCCGAGTTGGCAGTGCGCAGACTGGGTTACCAGCCAGCCTGCGGAAACACGGTGGTCAGGTGGTTTCCAGACGTGCGGTGCAGATTCCTGCAGCCTGAGAAGCCTGACCCAAGAGCGTAAGTAGTGCCGTAAATATAATTTAGGAGCCTTGCTGAGCAAGGCCTCCCCTTGCTGCTGCTGATCACCCAAGGGTTTGGAGGCAGCGGCTCTGTTCCTGAGGACCTCACTCTGCTTGCTCTTATGGGAATTCTTTGCTGCTACATCTTTTACTCATTCTGTTTTTCTCACCTTTCAAAACATCTTGTAGTAGTTACAAGATGTTTTGGGAGGAGGGGGAGCCTTACATTCTTGTGGACTCATACTGGAGGAAGAGGTGCTTGCTGGGGAAGAGCCCAACCTTCAGAGGAGAGCTTTAGTTGAGGCAGCCTTGATGGGAGGGAGGGGCTGGAGCTGGGACTAGGTCCAGGCGCAGTGAAAGAGTAGCTGCTGCTGCTGCTGCAGCCGTTCCTTCCTTAGGGAGAATTAGTAGCTAGAGGATGTTGTTCTGTACTGGCTCTAGTATTTCCCTTCTCTTTTTAACTGATGTTGAATCACTGTATAAGAAATCAACTGTACCTTTTTTTAGAACGGCATCCCCTCGAAGAATATGTGTGAAGGACCTTGCTTTGGAAAGCATCCTGTCTCTTAAGGATAATCAAGGGAGTGTGAGTTGTGCCTGTTGCCCTACTCAAATTTGGTTGCTGCTTTTCGTTCGCTTGACGGACTGGATCTCCCCCATCATTTTACCACTAGTCTGAAGTAGAGAAATCTAGCAGGTGAAGGCTTTCTTGGCCTAGACTGAATCTTGGAAATTTTTTGGGACTGCAGGTAAAGGCAGAGATTGGGGCTTCCTGAGAAATAGGGGAGAAATGTCCACCTTCCAATCAGACACATCTTGACAAAGGACATTTGAAAACATTGAGCAGAATGGCGTAGTTGAAAGAGGCTATATAGTCTGCCGTTCAGGGTGCCTCTTCTGTGGTATCCCCCTCAGCTGAGTCCTGATACCAGGAGTGTTTGACTCGGGGGGGGGGGATCAATTTGGGCATTGAGGGGTGGCACAAGCAGGGCCTGGGAGGGGATTCAAGGATGTTTGGGCTATCTTTTTCTTTCTTGTTGGAATGATCTCCTTTCCCAGGAAAGAAGAAAGTTGAATAAAGTTCCTACAGGGGGTCAGCCTTACTTACTTCATCTAAGGCGGAGCCAAAAGTCTAGCAACAAATCAAGGTCAGTTCTAAAAAGCAACCTTTATTTAAAAAAAATATTGCTTTAATACAAGTACAAAAAAGAGGAATATGTGAATGTAAATACAACCAAGAAAATTTAATAAATATAAAACTAACTAAATTGTAGCAGTGGAAGTAAAATAGTAGTTACTTCTATATAAAAAATACTACATCTCATTTTTTAAACAAATTAAACCTTTATCACATGAAATCATATGGTGAAGTCTTTCTATTATGCTGATAAATAATCAGTTTAAAGGAAAAATTGTAATACTTGAATAAAAAATAGCATTAAAAATAAGAGTAACACTCACCTGAATATGGAAGGATCCATAGTCATATGAAAAGGAAAAAAAACAGTATAAAAAAGAAAAAGAGAAAAATGTCACAATTAAATTGCTTTTCATGGGACTCCCAAGTGGAGATGTGCCTCAACTTGCTTGGCCTAACCCTCTTATCCAACCAAGTTTCTGATTTACAATTCTAGTTGGGTTAAGGAAATGGCCTAAAATGGCATCCCTTGAAGAAGGTGGCCTGTACCCTATTCCAAGGATAAGGGCATCCTTCAAGGTGTTGGGGAAGATGTCCTTGTTCCACAGTCTAAGGAAAAGACCGGGGCCCCTTTGGGCCGGCTCCACTGTGGGGCTCCTGTTAACTGGGTTTGTTTAGGAGCATGTGGCAATGAGGGTGACACTGACGCTGTGCTCTGCCGTAGTTCTGTAGGCCAAGAAGGGAATGCTGATGACAGCCTGGTGAGGACAAGGCAACGCTCCACACACTCTCTGCATCTGTCACCACAAAATGAAGGAGATGTGAATCTGGACAGCAAGAGAGGAAGGGCGGTGCTGGAGAACAGGGAGACATTAGCAGCCCCCTTTATCGTGCAGAAAGCTTGCAGCTTCAGCAGATTTGAGACTAAGGTAGGCAGGAGCCTGGAGGGCTGCGGCGGGCACACGTCTTTCCTGCCTGGCCCTCCGGTAGGGCTTTTGTCGGTTGGCTCTCCCATTTTCATGGCAGCAGAGGAGCGGATTGTGCTTTCAAGCGTGGGGGGAAATCCACCAAAAGGAATTGGTGCGCTGTTGGCAGGCAACGCTTTAGTTCACCGGGTGGTTCCTGAACCCGTCTGGTTGGCTTCCGTTCACCTAGGCCCTGTGCTCGGCAGCGTGTGGGAGAGAGGCAGGCTGACCGCTTGGCCCCTGGGAGATTTTGAATATGTTCCTCAAAAGGGGGCCTAAATCGGTGGGGCCAGATTGCTTCAGAGAAATAGCTAGCTTGGAATGGCCTCTCCCTCCTTCCCTTTCCACCCCCTCTTTTCTTTAGATCCCCGTGAAAGACAAAGATTCAGGAAGAAGTCCAGGCCAGCCCAAGATCACCTCAGGAGGTTTGGCTGTTTCCGTTCTAGCTTTAGCGGCTCTCTGAATTCACTAGAAGACTTTCTAGCCATGGCTGACTCACTTCTTCTGACTGGCCACAGGCTCGCTGGTCCTGAGGCGTTTGATGGCAGAGCAGCTGGGTGGCGCTGGCAGCAATCAAGATGAGAAAGGAGGGGGCCTCCTTGAGCACAGCCAGGCGTGCCCAGAGTCTGTAAGCGCTGCTGCCCTGCCAGTGCAGAGTAGTTAGTTTTCCCCTCCCTGCCCCGCCCCGCCCCTTGCATCCCCAAATGTGCATCCTTGACTGAGTGGGAGAGGGCCTTGGCCAGCTCCGGCCCTGCCTTGGTTGCGCGGGCTGAGGAAAGGGAGAGGGCAGCCGGGCTCTTGGGCTTTCAGCGGTGCTCGGAGCAGCAGGGGTTGGTTGCCAAAGCCCCATGGACAGGCGGTGGGGTCTGCCAGCGAGACTCCTCAGTGGTGGCTGGTCACGCAGAGTTGAGCCCCTCCGTAGCCGGGGAGGAAAGTGCTGCAGTGAAGGGAAGGGTGGGGAGCAGGACAGCTGGAAGGAGTCCCCCCACTGCCCATCATCTCTGCAGAGGGTCAGCGTGGGCATGTTCCATCTGGAGGCATGCTGGTCCTGGCCCAGGGGGACGTGGGGGTCCTGCCTGGCCAGAAGAAGGTAGGCAGCTCTTTCTCCCTCTCCTGGTCTTCTCCACTGTTGTGCGGTCTCTCCAACGTGGACTCCTGATTCTTTTTATTCTTCTCTGTTGTTTTTGGTGGTCCCAAAAAAACTGGGAGCAATTTTGGGAAAATAGCCTGTCTAGTTTTGTGGGTGTTTTTCCTCCAGGCTGCAGGGAACTGCAAGCTGCAGACGTCTCCAAGAGTTGTTGCTAAGAGAACACCTTGCATGAAGTTTATGGAATATAAGAGCCATACGGCAAGGCTGGACGTGGAGGGTGAGTGCAGTGACTTTTATTCCAGGGGCCTGCCTTACGGTGTAATTGAAGCCTGTAATCTGAGGAACTGAGGTGAGTGAAATATTTGGAGCGGAGAAACGGAGGGTTAGTGTTTACATTGCTGTCAGCTCCCCCTCCCCCCCCAGCAGAAGCCCTGATGCCGCTCTCCTTGCATGTCCTCATCTCTCCCTCACTTGAGCCAGCAAGCGCTCCTTCCAGCTTGCTGGTGGGAGAGTCCCACATGCTGGAGGATTGCTTCTTCTTGACAAGGAAGAAAGGTGAGGAACCCTGGAAGTAAGAGGGCTGCTGTGCTGGTCTTGAGAGCAGCCGGGAAGGAATGGGGGGATGGTAGCAGGGGGTCGTGTTGCCTTTGATTCAGGAGGGGAAGGGAAAGCCCTGGGAGGCTGGATGGGGAGGAAGTGCTGGTTCCTGTACGTTCGTCATGCTCTTCTCTGTTTTCTGTGGAACAGCAGTGGAGCCCAGTAACTTACAGAATTAATCTGCTTCATGTATGAATACTATCAGGAGAAAATCAGCACTGCCCTTGTTGTGGAAGGGCTTTCACTTGGTACTTTCCGTTTGACTTGGAGAAAAGGTGGTGCTGAAGCCGGCATGGAGGCTATTTCAAGTTAAGTGGCCATAGTAAAGTGGCTAAGTGGTTAAGTGGCCATAGTAAAAATGGCCTGATAATCCACCCGTTCCCTCAGAATGGAGAAAATAAACCCAAAAAACGGTGGCCAACCGTAGGAGGGAGTCAGCCATTGCTGCAAGGAGTTTAAAACTTAGTACCGGTATGCTGTAGGCAGCAAGCCTCTTAACTAGCAGATACGTGCAGCCGAAGGCCATGTTGTAAGCGGGGCTGGAGTTCATCGATGTGGTTTTGCAGATAAATTCCCTGCCTCTCTGGAGACCTGATGCAATGCAGCAAATCCCATACCTTTTCTGTCCCCTGAGAATTATGGATAATTCTCAGGGGCCCAGATTTGGCCCTGAGATCCTCAAGGACCAGTTCTGTTCACTGTTTCAAGCACCCCTTTCTTGACAAGGCAGCCAGAGCTAGCCGTGCTTCTCTTCCTGAATCTGTCAGGCTTCACACCTTGCAGTAAGTCTCCGCCTCCTCAGACATTTCTTATTCCAGAAAGGGCTCACTTGGCAATAGACGCCCAGACGTAACTTGGCTAGATCGGCTTCTTTATGACAGACAAGAAGGAAGTCATACGCACCCGGCAGGGCAAAGCAGGGAAAGTCTTTATATAGGACTCTCCTCCAGAGCTGAAACTCTAGGTGCTTTCCTCCCACCTTTCTGAGTTAAGGTATTTTTGCTGGTTTGCTCAGGCGGCAATAGTAATGGGGTCCCTTTCGTAGAGCTTCTTTGCCCTTACGTTGCCCTGTTTTGGCTTGGTTTTACTCAGGCTGCGGTCCCTTTGCTTCCTGCATATCGAAAGCAGAGCGCAGGTACAGGCAGTACTGCAAGCACCTGGCAAGCCGGAAGGAGGCCACCCTGGCTCAGAGGGATGCTTCAGAAGTCAGCAGGGAGCCTTGGCCTGAAGAATACGGCTCCCGGGAAGCAAAGACGACGTTTGCTCAGCTGCAGTCCCCACGACCCCCCTCCCCCTCCTCCCTCTCCCCTCCTCTGGGAGCAGCAATAATTCTCCCCTTGGTTTCACTTGAATCTGAAAGGGGTGGGGTGGGGTGGGGTGGGGGTCTGTATAATCAGTAGCCAACTCCAGGGACGGTTACTTCTGTTTAAAAAGGGGGAGGCGTACTCTTGAGCTTAGAACCATTAAAATTCCAGCTTCCTCACTCCATGCCTCTCTGACCCTTGTCTCCAAAGGAAAATGTTATAAGAATAGCTTTGTCTAATAATCCAAAGGTGGGATGGTTGATGGCCAGAAACATGATGCGGGCTGTAAGTAGACAAATGCAGCACTTGGATTAAGGCCCGCTTGAAGACAACTCAGTGTTATGCATCAAAATAGAAGAGAATTCAAAAACAAAGCGCATTCTGCTTGCTAGAGGACAGCTAAAAGAGCAGACAGTTATGTGAGAAGGGAAGGGGCAAGCCATTTTGTGGGAACTTACACTTCCTCTAGACTGAATTACCCCTCAGCATCCCTCTTCCTGGGCAGCACTCGTAGTCCTCTTACAGTAGGAAGATGCTGCCTCAGAGGCAAGTCTGTGAAACATGTTAATGTTTTGTCTGTCTTCCCATCCTATTTCTGAGTTGCACAAATGTACCGGAAGACAGACGGTGCTCTTCAGCTGTGAAAATGAGCAGAAGTAGAAGAACCGGATCGCGTTCAGTTGGGCTGGGCCTTCTGAACAGCAGTGATGGCTGTCTTTTGTTTCTTTCCCTTCTCTGAGCAGTGAGGTTCTTCTGCAAGGGAACTGTCCAGAGGAGAAGATGAAAGGCAGTTTTTGAAATAATGAGTTTATTTTGAAAGGAGTAGACCTTGTGTGGAAACAAACATTCAGGGCTCACTTAGCTTTGGATTCGTGATCTAAATATTTTAGTGTCCTTTAGAAATGTGGCCATCCCTAATAAAGTTAAATAAATAAACTCCTTGGGAGAAGATAAAACATGGTAATTTTGCCTCTTGGCTATCTCCCCAAAATCTGTTGGCCTTGGCAGAGAAGCATGTGTAGAAGGCAAAACCCTGATTGCTGTCTGGGCTGCTGCTTGACAATTTTGCTGAATGAAAGAACACGGTCTTCAAATATGAATTCCTACCTCCCTACAGTTCTCTACTTTGGGCTACCTGTTGCAAATAAAACTCAGGCTGGTTCCTCAATCTTAATTTTCCCTCTTGGTGGTTCATTCAGTTTAGAGGTCTAGACAATAATGTTTGCCAGTGAGTATATCTAAAGAAAACCTGCCATCAGTCTGGCTCTTGCTATGTAGAGCCAACGATCCCCAGTGTTTCTGGCTTTGATAATCCCTCTGGATGAAACACAGTGGTTATATTGCCTCTGCCCTAAAGAAGTTTGTGGCCCTGCAGGGCAGATCTTGTCTGAAGATGTTTGCTGTTCTGGGACTGCACAGAAGAAGCTGGTGGAGTAAGAGACTGATAGTCCAAAATTGTCTGCCAAGGAGGAATAATTAACTAGTACAATTTTCTGTTGCTACAATGGCTCTTTTGGGCAACGTTTTTACTGCTTGCTGGACTTCTCTTGGCAACCATCTACTTTTAAGAAAAAGAGAATTAGCGTGACTCCTCCCCCTTGATGTTAATCTTCCTTGTGTTCTCCCCAGCTTCCATTCGTACCAGCTCTCCCGGGCCTCCATAAACAGCTTCCTTCAGTTTTTTCTCTGAGAGGGACAGATCTTTCTCTGAAGGTAGGTGCTAGGCTGTTCTTTTGTAAAATGTTTACTTTGTGTTGAAGTTACATTCTGGGGAGAATCATGAGGTCAGCACGGAATGCAACAATATGCCTACTTTAAAAAAAAAAACGGCCAAGAAAGCCAATTGTAAAGATCCAATAGGTAGCTTTTATACAGTAAAACAGTTAATTGTGTCTATGAAATAGCCAGGTTTGGTTTTCTCCAACGTTTTAAATGTGCACAATTTCTCCCAATGTAAAGATCCAGTTTTAAGTTCGGGAGACCTTGGCCACTTAGAAGTTGTCAAGTGAGCCCCCTCCCTCTCTTCCTCTAGCCCTGGCTCCTTGGCTGGCTTCTCGTGGGCCCAATCCTCAAAGAAAGAAAGGGAAATATTTTGGGGAATATGTGATCCGTCTCCTCCTTCACTGGGTGTTATTCTGCAGTGTGAACCACCCGCAAGATTTTTTTTTAGATGTTTTATACCGCCTTCCTTGTTTTTATAACTAACTCAAGGCGGCGAATGTGCCTAATCCTCCTTCCTCCTCCTGCTTTCCCCACAACAACCGCCCTGTGAGGTGGGCTGGGCTGAGAGAGGGGGGCTGGCCAAGGTCACCCAGCCGGCTTTCCTGCCTCAGGCGGGACTAGAACGCCCCATCTCCTGCTTTCTAGCCTGGAGCCTCCACCGCTAGACCAAACCAACTCTCTGCTGGAAGATGGTGGAAGGTGCAAAATAATTCCAGCGTGCTCATTCAGGAGATACAAGATCCAATAAGATCCAATGCAGGATTTGGGTAAAGATGTTACATTTCTCAGGATTTCCCTTTATGTGCTGTGGCGATTTGAGAAAACAGCTGTCTGGAACTGTGGGTTCCCACTGTTGCATTTGATGGATAGTGCCGGGCTGCGTGCTGTCCTGGGATATTTGCTGAAGACATCAGGAGTCCTGGGTGCAGGTGCTTCTCTCTCACCCCAGAGAGGAAAAGGGTGATCAAACTTCAGACCAGCAATGGGATAGGAAGGGAGCTTGGTGCTTCGGTGTGTCTGACTCTTAAATCTAAGAAGCTGGGTTTATTTGTGCTGACTCATAGAAAGCCATGTAATTTTTGCATCGAATATTCTAGATCAGTGAGGTTCTTTGCAGACCCTTGAGGCTGCTTTCTCTGCGGCTTTCGAATATGAAAAACTTCTGTAAAACTGTGCCAGAATGGGACTTCACATAATCTAGCTTTCTGTTCTTACATCTCCAATTCTGTAGGCGGATTGTTCAAGTTAGACAGAAGGGAGAGCTTTTCCAGCAACATGCCAAAGGTGGCAATGGCCACAGTTTTAATGGATTTTGAAAGGGGCAAGGCACGAGTGGAGTGGGAGACTGTAGCTGAATGATTATGTCTGAAGTCCCTTGGTGTTCAGAGGCCCCATCTGGATGTCGCTTACTGAGTTTGGGGGCAACTGTCAGGTTCAGCCCAAAGAACTCCAAGAGACAATGCAAATATAGTTCTGTTTCGTTTATTAGCTCCAGCTCAAGACAGAAAATCTCCCCAGACTGCACCCAGGTCCCCAAGCCAGCCAGCCAGCCAGCCAGCCAGCCAGCCAGCCAGCCAGCCAGCCAGCCAGCCACAACACCGTGAATTCCTTAGGGAGGTGCCAGCCTCA